CAAAGAAAGGGTGATTAGACTCTAAAAGAATTTTCGGGACAATTTCTATGCGCCGATTTGTAGTGTAATTTTGTTGTTCGAGCCAGATAAAAATAAACCCGCGATACCCGGAAGTCAGCGTACCGAGCTGGGTTTCCATGGGCCATTTCCATATATATACGCACCGCGCTAACATTGGCCGGTAAAACACAAAACAGCGCTAGAAATCAAGCCCGATAAATAAGCTGAAGCTTGTTGAAACCGACGAAAATACGAAGCACGCGCTGTAGAAAATCGCCGACAAGGCTGGCGCTGGGAAAAACTGCGATCCGCCCGTCCAGATGGCCGCGGACGTCCCGCCGCGCGAGGTCTAAACATAGACAGCCGCCTGTGGATCGGGGATTAGCGCTTGATTGATATCTTCTTCTTTTCGAAAAATTTCGAAACTTTTCGAATTTCAAATTGTGTTTGTAAACATTTTGAAATTAAGATCCCATTTGATTGCCACTTTCAAAATTTTTGCAAATGATTCTAACATTTTCGAAAACATGCTACTCAGGTACTTCCATTTTTTATAATAATTTCAGAATATTTATAATATTTTTGAATTATTTGAAACTAATTGGAAAATATTAGAAATATGATTAAAAAACCCGCACGGTGACTTGGAATGGACTCTATAGACATGCGATGTAATCTTAGCCAATGATTCGTCATTTATAATCATCTGAGAGACTATCATTAAATTGCACGTTCTCGACAAACATCCTAGTATTTCTTCTTCAGGTTGTAATCTTCCCCGCCAACCTCTGCTTGGAGAGCACAGATCGTTCTCATCAAGCCGCCGCTGGACGCACCCTCATCCTCCGAGACAACCGATGTCTACATCTTCGGTCCTGAGACATCCGTTACCGGTCCCGGTGGAGCTGTAGGCAGGGGCCAGAAAGTGAGCCTGCGCATTGTGCCTGGTTTGTACACCGTTATTTTATTGAAACCGATAATTTTTTTCTGTAATTTTCTTTATAGAAAATGATTATTTTTCTGTTATTATTTCATATAAAACGATTATTTTTCTGTTATTATTTTATACAGAAATTGACTAGAACACTTTGTATTAGCCTAGTAGTTGTATGTATATATGTATGTATGTATGTATGTATTGACCTGTACCTAGCCAGTCGAGGCATGAATGTACAATGATGATGATGAAAGTTTATTGCAAATTCGTGCCCGAGGGCTAATTGCAAATTACAAACATAAAAGAACAATGAAACAGAGTACTAGTATGAAATAACTAAGATTTACATAATGAGAGGTAGTTGTCTAAAACTATATAATTATGTCTAAAACTATGTCTAAGGGGTTTGACTTCTCTTCTTTAAACCATGGAAGACGTAATGTCCCACCTTTTCTAAAATTAGTGGGTTTTGGGAAGTTAAAAGAAGAATAGTCTTTTCTTTGTCTGTAAGTTTAGTAAAATTGGGATAAATTGTAGAAGTTTGAATAGTCAACTCATTTCGAGCGTTGTTATGAAAGGAACAGTTTGAGATAAAATGTATTTCGTCTTCCACAGCCTTTGCACTACAATATTTACAAATTCTTTCACATACATGTACAGGTAGCCTTCTATAACGGCCTCTCTCTATTTCCAGAGGGTGGGCACTAACTCTAATTTTGCTAATGGCTGATCGTAGTTCAAAATCTGCAAGATTAAGATATCGTTCTATGTTGTACATGGTTTTACATTTTGAATAAAATCTTAACTTACCACTATCAGTTGACAAAGTGTGAAAAAATGTTTGTATATGTATATCTGTAAGTCTACTTCTCAGCATTTTCCCGACATGTTCGGGGTCACAATGTGAGTTATTGGAATGCCACAAAAAGGAGTATCCATTGTGATCTAATATGTCTTTAACACGTTGCAATAAAGTTCGTCTACGGGTATTTGTCGGAAGGCTTTTTTGTAAGAGCAGTGCGTCCCTTTGAAGGGGGTGTGAGGTTGTATCCATTTGGACTAGGCGAAACCAGAACTTAACTACATATATACAAATATCTATATCTAAAGGAAATCTACCTAATTCTGCTCTACATGCGACGTTGCTACTATTTCTAAAAACACCAAGAACATTTTTACAGAACTGGTTGTGTACATTTTCGATTGGTGAGGTATCATGTTGTTGTTCAGTCCCCCCATATTTGACATCCATACAGTAGTATCGGCTTTACACATGTGTCAAATATCTTTAGGAGGCTACGAGGTGATACTGTTTAACGAATAATAGTTTTAAAACTAGTATAAATGGCTTTACGTGCTTTCAGTGACAGCTGCTTTTTAGCTAGGGTGAAGCTACCTGATGATGTGAGGGTTAGGCCTAAATAGCAATAAGAGGGAACGTTGTCTATTGTGTTGTTTTCAAAGTAGAACTTTTGCTTTGGAAATGAACGACCTGCTTTGTTGAAAATAACAGTTTTTTTTTTTCAAATTTACTTGTAGCTTCCATTTGTCGCAAAAGCTACTTAATCTATTTATGGCCGATTGCAGACCTTTGTCTGATTCTGAAAGTATTACAACATCATCAGCATACAATAAACAAGAGACATATAGATTATATAAAGTAGGTGGCATACATTCTGAATTATCTAACTCCTTAACTAAATCATTGATAAATAAATTAAAAAGGGTGGGGCTCAAGTTACACCCCTGTCGGACACCCTTATCGGTCACAAATGGCGGTGTAAGGCCAGATTTTGTTTTGACGCAAGTTTCGGGTTTACTATACAAGCATTTGATCAATTTATAGAAATTCCCCCCTATTCCCGAATTTAGTAATTTGAAACGGAGCCCTTCTCTCCAGACAGTGTCGAATGCCTTTCTAAAATCTATGAAACATGAATAAAGGCGTTTGTTGTTATGGAAATATTTCGTAATTAGCGAGTCTAAAACAAAGAGGTTATCATTTGTACTGAATTTTTTTCTGAAGCCGGCCTGGTTGGGGGAGACTAGTTTATTCTCATCTAAATAAGTTGTTAGGCGTGTATTTAAAATTGATGTGAATAGTTTACAATAAAGGTATTTCTGATTTCAGATTGTTTTTGCAATTATTTTATACAAAACGATTATTTTTGTTAGTATTTCTAGAGAAAAAGATCATTTTTAAAATATTTTTAGAGAAAACGATTATTTTTCTGTTATTATTTTAGACAAACCGACCCCTGCCTTTTTTAATGTTCTGGGTCAATACCGACGTCACCAGTGGTTACATTTGGTTGTGAGGTTGAAAATGTTCAAGGGGCACATGTCTTCTTCTTTTTCAGTGTACATGCAGCGACCCACGGCCAAGAATGGTCATAACGGGGCACACGGCGGCCAACGGGCACCGTCTCTTCCGTTCCTGATCCAGGGAAGCTGACCACTGATGGACCTGACACGTCAGCCACCCATCCATCTGGCCCGGGATGTACTTCCCCGGGCACTTTCTCTCCTTCCCTTGCATTACGGAGCAGACCGTCCACGTCAAGCCACCGCCGGACACACCCTCCGCCACCGCCGGACACACCCTCCATCCCCCGAAACAACCAACGTCTACATCCCCGGCCCTGAGACATCCATTGCCGGTCCTGGGAGAGCTGTGAGGCCAGTCACACCGCCTGAGACCGATGACCGGCAGTCCGGGCACAGCTGATGTGACGAAGCCAATGTGAACGTGCTCTTCGATGTCCAGTATAAGGACGCAAAAGACAATACAGTCCGCATGATCGATACAAAATGTCATAATGTCTGAAGACATTAGCCAGAGGACCACCCCTTGACCAAATTGTTTGATTGTCTGGATCCATCATATGTCCTAGTACAAGGACAGTAACATTTGAGCATAAAGAACAGCAGTCATTATAACAACAACTAGTTCAATTGTATTGTCACTTATTTTATTACATTGGGCTTCTCCAGTAGCCAGGCTTTAAGACTGGAGGATGATAGACAGTCTATACATGTATTGTAATCGAAACTGATTGCTGTTATTCGGTATATCCAGTTATCAAACTAACGAGTACAACGGCCAAATAAGTTCAATGATTCACTGCTATACAATAATCTCTTAAATACAAGGGAGGCATGTATGGTATTTATAGCAGAACATCTGCATAGTTTTTGTACAATATCCAATGACCATGTGCAACAGGAGTTCCCTGGCTGTACGGCTGTAATAAGTGACCTAGTACAGGTGTCTTCCACTGCAAGGTCAGAGGTCAAGTCTAAAAGTCTTGACCAAAGCAAGTGTCTGTGTCATTCCTCAGTTTGTCACTTCCTAGAGTTAGGTCCTAGGTCAGACAAAAAAAGGAACTATTCTGTTATGAATGTTAGGCAGGACAGGTTTCAGGATGCTTAATAATCAGATGGACAAAATCACATCCCCCAACTTCATCATCAATTGAACGTACTAACCCAGTACTTCATGTCATCATCCCACCTACTAACCATGTACTTGTTGGACAATCTGTCGTCCCTAGGCTCGGCCTCGACAAGATCCACAAAACCACCCTACTAATACCAAAACGTCATGCCATTTATCCCACCTACTGACTCTGTACTTGTTGGACAATCTGTCGTCCCTAGGCTAGGCCTCGACAAGATCCACAAGACCACCCTACTAATACCAAAACTTCAAGTCATTATCGCACTTACTAACCCTGTACTTGTTGGACAATCTGTCGTCCCTAGGCTCGGCCTCGGCTCGGCCTCGACAAGATCCACAAGACCACCCTACTACGTGTAATACCAAAACGTCATGCCATTATCCCACCTACTAACCATGTACTTGAGGACAATCTGTCGTCCCTAGGCTCGGCCTCGGCTCGGCCTCGACAAGATCCACAAGACCACCCTACTACATGTAATACCAAAACGTCATGCCATTATCCCACCTACTAACCCTGTACTTGAGGACAATCTGTCGTCCCTAGGCTCGGCCTCGACAAGATCCACAAGACCACCCAACTAATACCAAAGCCTCATCATCCCCTAAAAAACTTAAAAGTTCCGCCTCAATAGGTCCGCCATGTTTCCTTCCCGTCATGCTAAGAAAATTACGTCAAGTGCAATACATAATCAGACTCACTTATATTACGTCAAAGCCAACGCCTCTATACACTCCTGCCAAAATGAACACACAACCAGGTACGCTTTCAGTTACTGCTCTTTCCAAACATACCGCTAGGTGTCGTCTTTACACTGTGACCCGGTGACAGATCCCACAATGCACCTTACTCGCAAACTTTGACCTGCCCCATTGCATGACGGGAAACAAAATGGCGGCGCCCACAAAATCCACCTAAAATAGAACAGGTTTTGCATACTGCAAACCTGTAAATATTCCAGCGTACAAAATACTTTTTTTGAACCAGGTTGGCAGTGGGCAACCTATGGCAGAAATTAGGTTGCCCATCAGAATTTCAGGTTGCCCCACCTATAAGTTACTACATTCCCCAACTTACATTGTAAGTAATGTTACATACATAAGCCTTTGACAATATTTCTTACAGCCTTTAGTTAAATACTAGTATAGCCATTATATTATAAATACCTAAAATTGGGGGGGGGGGCATTCTTAAAATTTAGGTAGCACACTGGGCTACCTAGGTACCTAGGTTCAAAAATAGGTTGCCCCAAGTAAAATTTGGTTGCCCGGGGCAACTGGGCAACCAGGTATTTTGCACGCTGTATTTAAATATTTGGCTGTAACAATACATAATGCCAATCCTCTCCCTGTCATATGCTTAGTATACAGTCAATGGTTTACAGTGCGGCATGGTCACTTGCCGATCTCATACAGTCACCTAACTTTCTCAGGATAGTTTCCAAACACTTCTCTATCATTGTCGACTGTTATGATCGTATAATATTACAGAAATCGGTGGAAAATAAGGGTTAAACACTGACCAGTGACATCATCTGTGACTGCCTCCGCCATGTTTTCCTGAAGCATAGTGGGATAGTAGTGTCAAAGGTCAGATTCACGGAAGTTAGAATATTCCGGCAGGACTTGGCCGGGCTGTTTCTACTCCTCAGTCTTTCCAGGTGAGATATTGTCCCACTAACTAGATTTACTAACTCATTGATGACTTTATTTGATAAATAACACTCACATGATTGCCGTGGAAGAGTTTGGGAAGTTGCAGCGAAGTTTTGTTGAAGTTACGGAAAGTGTAAAGTTGTACTACAAAATTGTGACCATGCGGCATGGTAAACTCTCTAACATTTTAACGAGTTCTTTTATTATTTTGGAAAAATAAGCCGAGAAGTTCGGGCAGGGGTCGGTTGCCGGTCAGGTCAGAGTTTTGAACCGCGGGGGCCGGTTCGTTCAGCCCGCCTATTGTACCGTGTGGGGAGGGTAAACAAAAAGGTGAGAAGGCGGCAGTACAAAAGGGCCGGCGGCTCACCTGGCTATTGGCTCACCTGTCGGCACGTGACCGCCGTTGCCATGTCAGGAGCGCGAAACGAAGTGTCAGCTTTCAGTACTGCTCACCTGTTTGAGTAAACGTACCTGTACTCACCTGTATACCTGTCGGCAACTTGTAGGGTTTCCTCATAACGTACACCCCAACATGGACGGTTTTTGGGTACACACTGTGATCCTAAGGTAGGCAAGGACTCATTTGTATCTACAGTAGACCTAAACTGTCTGTAAACAGCAGTTAAAGATCCTGTACTAGTTATAATGTACAGTAATGTTAAGATTAATGTTCATACCAGTACACAGCATATGCTACGATCATGATTTATTTAAGTAAGTAAGGTCAGTGTTGGTGTGAGGTTTAAGTAATACTTTAAGGTCTTGATATATTGATCTAAGAAAAGCTAGAAGAAGAGATGACAAGTGTTCTATCTGCAGATGTTGTGTTTTGGACCAATACTGTAAACGACTACTTGTTACATTTTGGAGTCTGTCCATGCAGCAAAATTGTTATACAGAACTAGTAATAGTGCTATAATAGTAATACACACACTCTAAAAATGAAAGCATGGATAGGTAAGAGTTATTTTGTGTTATCAATTCTCATGCACTCTTTCTTGCAAAGCTGTTATGTTTTGCAGACTTTACGACAAGGTGAAGCTTATAATATTGTGGTGTAATGCTAAACTGTAGAAACATTGACATAGAAGACATAACTATAGCCCAGCAGTGTGTCTGTCATTGTTGACAGGTAAGGTGATAGGGCCTGTTTTAGTACCACAGACTGAAGGATACACTAACCAAGGCTGCCGTGCTTCAAGTGTTTTGTATACTGGATCATATGATGAGTGTTGTGGGGGGTAGATCTTTGGTTCACGTACTTTTAAGAACGGGTCAATTCTTCGGAAGCCTCAAATTCATCCAGTGCCTAAGGCCACACCAATTTAATTTCTTGGTTAACGAATTCATTTTTTTCTGATTTGCAAATAACAATAAAAATTCAGAATCAACTGCAAAATGCTCAAACAGTTGAAAACAGTCCTTTTCTTCCTAGTTGTTACAGTTATTCCATCTTTCAATGCAGTTGCAAAGTTCAAAATTCATTGTTTAAATTTTGAACCAGTGTTGACTTCATGGCTCCTATCGTACCATTTTGGGCCATAATAGGATGCCTAGAAAAATCTGTGTGGCCTAATGGTGAAAAATTGGTGTGGCCTAATGTGATACATATCGTATGCCCCTACGGTGCCAAGCCTAAAAGTTAAACTACTACCAAATGTGAAATGCCCTTATATATTATGAAAAAAAGACAAACATTGACATGTATGTACATGTACATGACTACTAGTAACTTCTTGCCTTGTTGTTTACCTTCATCTGACCATCTGTAGGTCAAGGGCATTCTAATCTGTATCTGTATCAGTATAGCCGGTATAACCGCCGTTCGGCGTAACACACCAGCTTCGCAGGCACGCGGCGCAGCGGCAGCTGGCTATATTACACCGATCGACTTGTTACACCTAACCCTTGAACTTCTAGCTCTAGACATTGTTTAAAGCTATCTATTGACAATGCCCCTACTGTACTAGTACTTGGTGACACTGACAGTGAGTTCCACTCTGCGATAGTCCTAGGAAAGAATGAATTCTTAAACACCTCGATCCTTGGTTGATAACTCTGGTACTTGAATGCATGGCTATTTCTTGTTCTCTTCTGGTCTGTAATCTTTAAAATTGTGAATTATGATGAGTTTCTGTATTGACACTGTACTACCGCCAAACCTGAAGTCAGGGGCAGCACAGAAATGATATACTAGTAATAAATCACTTAAGTCACAGGAATACGTGCTCAAGGTTCAGACTGGAACACACACACATCTGGTAACTTCACTGTAGCAAACTGCTGAACTCTGTTATTCCATGTACAAATGTACGTAGTTAACCCATTATGCTAGCCCTAAGTGTCCACTGTAGCTATTACTAATAGGTTTACAATGCAAGTCTGTGAAGAAAAGCTCTCCAACCTCTTAGGAGCATGCTGACAGAATACCAAATGGCACTCTGACTCAAAAGTACTTGAGGTAACGTTTAACTTTCTCTAACAACCTTGATCCCTTTAGAAGCATTTGAAACAGGTTGTTCCCACATATGTGACTTGGACTAAACTATTTTTAGGAAGACTTTTGCGAACAAAAGTTGTATAGTCTGGCGTATAAGGCCGTGAAGTGCAGTTGAGTGTCAGGCATTTGTTTTGTTGTTTAAATGCGTTGTTCAACAAGTCAGTCAGATGGAAAAGTTATGACTTATGAACATGATAAGATAATGTCATGTCTTGTAGCTATTTGTTCATACGTGTCTATCAAACTGACTCAGGCACGCATGTCCAGAATCAAAATGGAAAACCTTACAAATTGGCTTTCAGGGCTTGAAATACTGGGTGCATGTGCACCTTTAAAAGTGCACCCAAATTTGGAGCTGTGCACCCAATTTTTTTCTGTGGGTGCACTGGTGCACCCAAATATTTTTGTAGGTATTTTTGTACATACTGTATAATAGTATACAGCATATTCTTGGCATCTAAGTGTCAGAATTAATAAAATCTTTGCTGTAAGTACTTGTGTAAGATTTTGAGGTTAGCTCCCAAGATCTGTAATTTTTTAGGTTGGGTGACTGCACCTATTCTCAAAAATGAATTTCGAGCCCTGGGTGACTTTGTTGCTTAGCACTCTTTAGTTGGCAATCCTAAATTCATTCTTCAAGCTAACTGACGTCTATCACACCATAGTTGTCCCTCAGTAAGACATCTGGAGCTGTATACTACAGTATAGTTCCTGTTTAAATCTTGTCATTCAGCCTGAATCACATGTTTAACACTTTTATGCCTCGCAAAAAGAAAAAAGCAAGTTCACTACATACTGTAGTAGTATTCGAACATGCTACTTTCAAATTTACGCCACTAATGTTTTTTGGGTCAATATTCATAAGAGAGACAGATGTATATTGTATGCATTGAGTCAATGCATACAATATACATCTCTGTCTCTTTCATGAATAAGAATCTATACATGTGCATTCCTGTATGCAATAAGGTATCTACATACAACACATAAGATTGAATATGGACAATATGTGAGGAGACAGGCATGTTGTCAAGGCAGCAAAACATGAACAAACTCCTGGAGATAACAATTATATTTTTAATTTTGTAAAAAGCAGTGGATAGAAATGTATATTGGCACCATGATTGTTCATGTACCTATATACAAATCTCTTTGATGTATATTGATATATTACACAACTTAACAGTCATAAATTTACAAGTAATGCCACCTGGTCTCAAAGCAAGCAACCACGTTAAAAGGAGGTAGCCAGGCTCCCTTTTCTTTCTACCTACAAAACAAGAAACCTACTAAGTACAAAAGTGTGTATCCTAGGATTTAATGTGCCAAATTTATATCATTTGTGGTGTTAAGAGACAAAGTATAAATAGAGTATCCGTGACTGTAATTCATTTTTGTGCCATTGTAATTGTGGGAATTGTCCTGTTGCTAGACGCTATGCGTGCTTGGCAAACAAAGACCTGAATAACCAATATCAAAGGTAATTATGTCAATTGTTGAAGGTCATATAATGTAACAATACCGCACCTGTAATAGTTTAACCATTATTCTATATGACTTACACTTTAAGTTGATATGTGCATACACTTCTAAAGACAAATTTACTCTAGAATGTTGTGTGGTATTTTTCATTGAAAAAAATGACGGAACAGCTTTATTTGTGTTACAGCAGATATTTTCTTTGGTATCCAAGATTCCAAAAATGAGAACTTTGGTAGTCGTGTTTATTCTTTAACCAGGGCATTTCACAGATTCTAAAGTACCGTAACCAATGGTTACAATAATGTAACAAAAGTAACTAATACGTAAAAATTTATCCAATGAAATTTCACGGTGGCAAAACTAGTACTGGATTTATTTTTAAAGTCTTTCCTCAATGGTTGCAGGCAAAATATGAGAATTTTTTTTTTTTTGCAAATCAGAAAAATATGAAGAGGTGAATCCGAGAACCATCAAATTAGATTGGTGTGGTCTTACATGTATGTCGGAAAAATGTTGTCTGCAACAGGCAAAATTCAATGAAAACTGTGAGAAATTGGGGTTTTGCGCAGGTGTAGTATGTTCTGCCAATGTGCTCCAAGGTTCTAGCTAGGATTTTAATTTTAGTGTAGTGATACTGGCCGCATGTCAAGGGAGCGAAGCGACTGAGAGGGGGGATGGGGCGGAGCTTTTAAATTTAAAAAAATTGAGATAGAAAAACAGGCCATTTGAGGGATACCCAAAGGGAAAAAATGTTATTTCTAAGGTATGTACAATGTATCCTTGATTGGTAATTTTTCACATTTGATCTGGCATTCTTGAACAAAAAAATACAGCCACAAAGCCCCTATGCTGTATTGAAAATGTAGCGTAGGGGGTGAAAATTATAGCGTAGGGGCCCCTACGCTACTTCGTGCTAGCTAGAACTCTGTGCTCCCCATGTGGAACTCACAACAACATGGAGACACTTCAATTAACGGCATGCGTGAGAGTGTTGTTTGGGGGTGGGTTATCAGGGAGACACTGTCAACAGATAAACACACAAAGTAAACATGAGGTGATTCTGACGGGCCGACATTGTGTACTGTACACCTGTACAGGTAACTCACAGGTAAACACAGAACAACGCAGTACTGATGCAGGGGGGTGGAGGGGGGGGGGTACAGTTACATGTCAGTGTACAAAATACTTTTTTGAACCAGGTTGCCTAATTTCAGGTTACCCCACCTATAACGTATAAGTTACTACTTTCCTCAAATTAAGTAATGTTACATACATTTAAAAGCCTTTGACAATATTTCTAACAGCCTTTAGTTAACTGATACTAGTAATAGCCATTAATACCTAAAATTAAAAAGCATCTGCCAGATACAGTGGTGCAAGCCAAGTGGGTATGATTTGGGGGGGGGCATTCTTAAAATTCAGGTAGCACACTGGGCTACCTAGGTTCAAAAATAGGTTGCCCCAAGTAAAATTTGGTTGCCCGGGGCAACTGGGCAACCAGGTACTACTATTTTGCACGCTGCATGTGGACATAGATACTGTTGTAGAGCTAAGGCATCGGAAAAAAATGTTGTGTTTCCTGTTTCAGTCCTGAAAAAATAGATAGGTCAGTAGGTAGGGATTATCTTTTTTGCTTTCTTTTTTGGTCAGACTCTGCCAATTTCTAGTGATCCAAATCATGCAATACAGTTTGACAAAGTAAAACTTGCATGAGAACACTTAAATTTGCGATGTCAATGTTGGAAAACTGCTTGTACAACGTTTCATCACTCAGGTGTCAGATCATGGAGCTAACTTAAAAATAGTCGATAAGCTTGAAAAATTTATGTCCCTTACAGTGGTCCATCGCAAAAAAAAGGTTTGAAACTTGAAAGGCTCTTGAAAGAACTGCCTTAGCAACCAGCTATCAACAGATAGTTACTCAACAAAATGGACTTTAAAAATCGGGAGGTCATCTTTTATTCAAACTTAATGTGTTTTTAATCTACGATGGATGATTTTACAGGTGGGTATACAAACAGGTATTTAAGTTTCAGTACGGCATAGGAATGAAATTAGGACCTTGTTGTTATGGGAACAAATAGGGTTGGTACTTTAGATGGGAGGTGGTGTTGGGTTTCTACACTTACTGCCATGACCTAATTTTTTTTTTGATGGTGCAACAGTTTAAAAGCCATTGTGTACCCCCTATGGAGGTTCGAAATCTGGGGGGGGGGACTAGACTGTACGTAGTACTGTTTTCTTCCAAAGATAACACTTTATAATGTTTGAACTGTTTTGTTTTGTGTGTTGTTAGAATTAGAAAACTTTAAGAATTATACCTAGAAATTTCTATACCTCTAGATCTCTTAGGCCACACCAATTTAATTTGTTAGTTCTCGGATTCGCCTCTTCATCTTTTTCTGATTTGCAAAAAGAAAAAAAGATTCTGGTTCTGAATCAACTTAAAAATGCTCATATTTTGTCCCCAACAGTTCAGATAAGTCCTTTTCTTCCTACTTGTTACATTTTTTCCATCTATCAATGCATTGATTAAATTCGGTTTGATTAAGAGTTCAAAATGAATTATTTAGATATAGCCCTAGCCTTTTGTTGACTTCATGGCTCTTATCGTAGCATATGGGGCTATAGGACTTTTTTTTAAAAGAGCATGCCTAGACCTGTTTTTATTCTTTATTTTTTTTGCCCTGTAAGTTGCTTTTTTTTCTGAAAAAAATCCAAGAACCAACAAATTGGATTGGTGTGGTCTTATAGAAATGTACTATTGTATTGGCAGAGGAATGTTTAAAAAAAACTAAATGAGATATCAACAGTGTAATACTTCCGTACCATAATTGTGGACTAAATGCAAACATCTCCAAGTTTAGGCCACACGAATTTAATTTCTTGGTTAACGGATTCGCCCGCTTCATTTTTTTCTGATTTGCAAATTAAAATAAAAATTCAGAATCAACTGGAAAATGCTCATATTTTGCCCTGAACAGTTGAAAACAGTCTTTTTCATCCTAGTTGTTACAGTTATTCCATTTTTCAATGCAATGGTATCATTAAATTAAAAGTTCAAAGTTCATTGTTTAAATTTTGAACCAGCCTGGTGTGTTGACTTCATGGCTCCTATCGTACCATTTTGGGCCATAATAGGATGCCTACTAGTAGGCCTAATATTTTATTTTTTTTTCGCCCGCCCGCTCCATCATTTTTCTAGAAAAATCCGTTAACCAAGAAATTAAATTGGTGTGGCCTTAGCAAGTTGTTTTCACAAGTTTTGACAATGTCGGCCACTCCTGTAGGGAATAATTGGCCACTGAGCACACAGTATGAACTGCCCGTACCGGAATTAGCTTCTGGGCAAGATTATTTGTCTCATTCTGAGTCAACACCTGTCAATCAGTTGTCATCTGAAGTGGTTCAAGAAGTTAGAATCCCACGTTTGTTGGTAGCAACATCCTACTTCTTGTGTGAGACACTTAGAGCCACGTACCTACATTTGTAGGCCACGGCATCTTAATTTGTTGGTTCTTGGATTCGCCTCTTCATTTTATTCTGATTTGCAAAAAAAAAAAGATTCTTGTTCTGAATCAACTCAAAAATGCTCATATTTTGCCCCCAACTGTTGAGGAAAGTCCTTTTCTTCCTTAAGTTCCTACCGTTTTTCAATCTATCAATGCATTGGTATGATTAAAAGTTCAAATTCATTGTTTAAATATTAACCCAGCCTTCATTTAATTTGTGTTGACTTCATGGCTCCTATCGTAGCATTTGAGGCTAGAATACAATGCCTAGACCTGTTTTTATTATTATTTTTTTTGCCTGTCACTTCATATTTTTTATGAAAAAATCCGAGAACCAACAAATTAAATTTGTGTGGCCTTAATGTAGCAACTATATACCCTGGACTTGGAGACTGTTTCAGTACACAAAAATCAAAGAGCACCTGTTGCAAAGTAACACTTACGTAGAACATCTGCTCAGTAATAAGGGTTAAACATTTGTAAAAATCAATACGTAGAGTTCTGAGTGTGTACAAGCTGGACTTTGAGACTTCTTAACCCTTGGTCGATAGACTTTAAAAGGCTAAGACTGTTCACTCTTCAGACCTTTGTCACTATGGGAATGTTAATATACAAAGGGGAAAGATACAGTTACTAAGAATGTTTTTTGTTGTGTATAGTGATGCATACCGGTTCACTGGACTTGGATCCGGACTTGTAAGAATATTCAGGTTCAAGTCCAAAAAAACCCTAAAATTCAAGAAACGAGTCCGGACTTATTACCATAAAAGACCATTTCACATACCCCTTTTCTTTCCAAACCACCTAAAACCATCCGCAAGGTTGCCAACATGCAATTTTGTATATGCCATGGGTTTAGGTGTAAGTCCGGAACTGAACCTAAACCTCTGGACTTGAATCCGGACCTGAACCTAAAATTGGGTTTAGGTTATGCATCACTAGTTGTGTAGATGGCTTTTTGTTCATATTAGGTAGAATTAGAAAAGTACAAAATGACGTGATAATAGCTACTTGACCACAAAAAGTTGAAACTATATTATAATACATGTTGTGATCTGACCGGTCTTCAATCTATATCTGCACTTTAACCTTTTCTTAATTGGACCTTTTTTTCATGTTTCTCAAGTGTTCACCTCATACTTGTAAGAGTTTCTTTGCTAAGATTTGTTGACAGACCTTGAATGACGACTTGTAAGTGTTACACCTCTCTTTACCCTGTCTCTAGCTACTTGTGCCCACTGTTTGCCTGCTGTCGTTACCAGTATGGTCCAGTTGTATCCCTGTAAAGCCGTAACCAGTGATGAGCCGTGTCGTGTGTGTTTGTGTTTGGGTTGGTCGATGTGAGTAAACCTATTAGCGGCTCCACATTGTCATACAGGGACTCTATAAAGAAAACCTGGAGACCCCAGTTGTTTGCATTACCTGGGTACGGTCAGTACTACTTGGTTATCAGCGTGAACAAGAATTGTTTGTAAGAACGCAGAAAGATTGTCAGCGTTTCTACTAAATTCTATTTTGAAGGGTTTACCTTATGATTTCATTTCGTCAGTACTGCTTGGTCATTAGGGTAACAAGAATTGTTTGTAAGAACACAGAAAGATTGTCAGCGTTTCTACTAAATTCTAGTTTGAAGGGTTTACCTTATGATTTCATTTCGTCAGTACTGCTTGGTCATTAGGGTAACAAGAATTGTTTGTAAGAACACAGAAAGATTGTCACCGTTTCTACTAACTTCTATTTTGAAGGATTTTACCTCATGATTTCATGACTATCTTCTTTTTTATTTCCAGTCAGTTGGAACCTTGAATAAAACCACGGTGAAGAAGAAATGTGCATCAACAAGTCTGTATAGCAGCTGGAAGTGCATTGATTCTTCTCAGGACTGGAAGATGGCAGACATTAACTGCTGCGTAGGTTTAATCTGACAACCATGGACGCCATCACGGGAAAAGCGGGACTGGAGAAGACTCTGTCGGAGCTCGCGCTGGTCCAGAAGAAGCAGCTGCCCCTGCGTCAGCAGACTGACCGTCCCCTCCTGAAGTACCCGCTGAACCACACCGTGAAGGTACACTACTCTCAACTTCAGGGGCAGAAAGCAGCCAACCCCGCTCCGCCAAACGGTGTGAGCTATCGCGTCGGCGCTCTCGCCGCTAACAACACAAACACGAAACAGTCACCAACGAAAGGCACGTCGGGAAACCCTTACACACGGCCTGTCAGTGCAAAAGACGTGGAAGACCCAACAAGTCCTGAGACTAGTAGAGGTATGAAGGCAACGAACTCCACACCCAACATGGTGACGCCAGGCAGGCCTGCAGTTATACCCATCTCTGGTGCCTTCATACGACCCAACAGTGCCAAAATGCAGCTACAGCCAAAACCGCCCAGTCAGAAAACGCCCATAAATCGTGTGTCTCCGAGTGGGAAAGACTCGTCAGTGGGAAACAGTCCCAGAACCTCCTCCCAAGGCTCCACACCCGTCAGTCGAAGGAGCTCTCAAACTGGCCAGCAAGTCAGTACGAGTTCTCCTAACTCAAAGGGCAATTCCAGGAGAAACTCCAACACATCTGTTATCAGTTCCAGTCTACAAAGCTCGAATTCTCCTATCAAGGAGAACCAAAGCCAGTCCAATAGGACATCACCCTTATCCAACAAGTCTTCCAGTACTGGATCTTCCCCACAAGGAAGAGTACAGGAGTCCTCCTCTACTTCTAATGCTGCTAACGCTAGGAGGAGGTTATACTCTGATCCCTCTCCAGCAACCAAGAACAAGATTGACACAAACCCAATCCCACAGAAAAACTTCATCCTAGCCAATCTCAACGCTGTCAGAAGTAGAACGTCATTTAGCAAGGACAGTACTACAAGTATCACAGCCACGGCAAATAACAAGCCACCGCTGCCGCCCAATGGTAAACCCAAGGTTGGTCCTAATACTGCTGTTTTGAAGAACAAATCGTTGAACTCCAGTGCTGCTAATGTGAAGACGACTGGAGTAGAAACGAAGACTACCATTGGTAGCAAACCGAACCTTGTAAAAAAGCAGAGCTCAGGGACCATTGGAGTAAAGGGAGAGGGCTCACAACCTGGCAGTGTAAACAGTTCACCACGGGCCAAGATTGCACCAAACTCTCAGCTTCATTCAAAACAAGACAAGGCACCGTTTGGGAAAAGTTTGCAAGGAGCCAAGACCTCTGGGACTAAGCATGTGGAAAGGTGGGTGGAACATATTTTGTAATGTTATAAACACTAAAGACGTATGATACAACTTACCAGGACAAATTGTTTTGGATGAACAATTTGTTACAAAGTTGTTAAGATACTAGTACTAGTAGGTAAGTTTGTTTTGCATAACCAGTAAACTGCCTTTAGGCGCAACACACTAGTTTTGTACATATAGAATACAACACGGGGTATTCCGTATCGCCCGAGGTATCGGCCCAACTCGCGGGAGGGCTAGGACCGAGGGCGATGCGGAATACCCCGTGTTGTATTTTATTTATGTCATACCCACCCAAGAAAACACGCCTTTCAATGCAAGATGAGCCAAAAGTTGGTGCCATTGAACCCTAAAATGCAACAACATCAATTCCAACGTCCGGATTCTGTATTCGAATTTTCGAAAGGGGCACTCGCGGTTAGGGCGAAACGCGTTCGAATCGTTTTATGGAAGCCATGGAAGCGTTCGATAACGGGTTCCGGACCGGGCCGTACCGTAAAGTACGGCCCGGTCCGGAACCCGTTATCGAACGTTATCGCGGCCCGGGTATGATATAAATGTAAGTATAAGCTGTGTAAGACCAGACTGAACTGTTTAAACCACTCACACCGGAAAGGACCCCTGCTCTTTTTGATAAGTGTGGTGGGTTCTTTAACATGCCTGGGGTGTGGCTCTCCCAAACACGGGACCTCTACTTAGCGTCCTATCCAAGGGACATCCCTAACCAAAGCTAGGTACTCATTTCCACCTGAGTGAAATGAGGAAAGTCATGTAAAATGCCTTTCCCAAGAGAACAAGATCGGTGACATCGGGCAGGATTCGAACCCGTGACCTCTTGGGTCACTATTTCTATTTTCCTGGTTTACAGAGATTTTGGCGACGGTGCAGTCTCCGCCCCTGGTAAGGAGGTGGATCCGGTGACCTTTGACCCAGATGACCTGGATGATGAGTGGAGTGATGTGGAAGAAGGGGAGGAAAACGAGGACTCCATTTACGAGGACCCTGAAGGGTAAAGGTTTTCTCTGTTTGCCTTTACAGGGCTCAAAATTCATTTTTGGGAACAGGTGCACTGGTGCACCCAACCTTACAAATTGGGTGCACAATATAAAATGAAATATGTAGAATGTCAGCAAAAACTTATCATGTTTCGTTTCTAAAGGAAAGTACTACAATAATAATTTTATTATTTTTTGACACTTAGGCCACACCAATTTAATTTGTTGGTTCTCGGATTTTATCAGAAAAAACATGAAGCGACAGGGCGCAAAAAAATAAAAATAGAAACAGGTCTAGGCATCCTATTACAGCCCCAAATGCTATGATAGGAGCCATGAAGTCAACACAAAAGGTTGTGTTAATATTTAAACAATGAATTTTGAACTTTTAATCTCCCTCGCAAACCTAGGACACACAGTGGAAACATACTAGAATGTGTTTCCCCTATGTTTCCACTGTGTGACCAAAGGTAACACACAGGAAACACACTGGAAACATATAGATAATCCGTGACCAACTTCTCCGCCCATGGAAACACAAGGAGCTGTCACAGGATTCTGACTGGAGCAGAAAATCATTTCCAATGTGTGTTTCCTTCTCGCCAATTAGAGACTGTGTTTCCAGTGTGTTTCCCCTGTGTGTCTTGGTTTAAATTAATCACTCCTAGGAGCAGAGCCCAGCAGCATTTCTCAGAAATTGTGTTGCAATGTCAGACAGACTCCAGCCCCTTGCCTACATATATATACAGAATGAAACAATGTCTTCAGTGTTCCAAATTTTTGCCTGTAGTTATATATACCTATACAAGGAATACAAGGGGCAGAATTTCTAGTCATCATTTATAAATCAAGTACATTTGTAACTGTGTTCTGTCACCAGTGTTTCTAAACCTGTATCTGGATGGGTATGCATTGCCTTAAAGAGAATTGGTCCTTCTAGTTCCTTAGAACACACAGTAAGGGACAAAAAGGATAGACCCGGTTTACACGACGACAAAAACCTGGCGTACGATAATGGCGTACGCACGCGATCGTACGTCCGTTTCGGTTTACACGGAGCGGGACGGACAGCGCCGGGACTCCCGCAGCGCTCCACACTATCGTGACCCCATTTGACCCGCCGCGAGCTTTGACATAGCGCTATTTTCAAAATGGCGGGAGAACAGGCTCTTTTTCTGTTCTTCATGCGTCAGATGTTGCTATTCTTCTTTTCGCGGATGTACTTGCGTCGCCGGGCATTGCGTAGAAGAAGGGTTGGACGTCGCAGGGAGCGGTACCATGAGATCCAACGGGCAGCAATTTTTGCAGTCATTGCAATCATTCAAGCTCAAGGCGCGGGATCGATCGGTCAGTGTGGGAACGTGACAGTTAGAGCTATTGCGCACTTCTGCCATGGTCAGTTGCGGCAGTCGCGAGCAAACAGGCTCAGCAAAACAACAAACAAATCAAATACGATAAAAAAACAAAAGGAAAACCGAAACGGATCAGAGAAAACGGAGTAAAGATCAGTAACACGGCGTGGGTTTTCACAGGCGCGGGAAGAAGAATGGAATTTGCATATGACCCCTGACCTCCTGCAACAGGGAAGTGCTTGCGAACGCCGTTCGTACGATCAGTCGCGTTTACACAAGGCGGGGAGGCATCCTGACTCCCCGCTGGGCGATCGTACACGATCGTACGCCTGCCTTCGAGGTGGCGTACGCAAATTGCGTACGATAGGTGCGTACGATAGGTGGGGCCGGTTTACACGCTGGAAAAAATGGTCGTACGCAATTGTCGTACGATCGCGTGCGTACGCCATTATCGTACGCCAGGTTTTTGTCGTCGTGTAAACCGGGTCATAGTCTGTATCATGTGACTTGTGTGACCACATGGTCAGGTGGTCTGTCATGGCACCATTATACAATTCATTCCTTCACTGTTCTGTCTATGCCTTGGCAGTGCATGGATAATTGATTTTTCACCCATAACAAGCCCCAGGGATAAGGGAGGAGCCTGCTGTCCTTCAGCTTTGCTAGGCTCTGCTCCTAGGAGTGATTAATTACCAGGACACACAGAGGAAACACACTGGAAACACAGTCTCTAATTGGCGAGAAGGAAACACATTGGAAACCCTTCCACTATACGTCCTCTAAAACAAACATTAGGGACCCTCTGAAGAGGGAAAAGGGAGAGGACACACAGAGGAAACATACCCTCTTCTGTCCAGAGTGTTTCCCCTGTGTTTCCCCTGTATTTCCACTATGTGTCCGAGGTTTGGAGTGGTACTGCATTGATAGATGGAAACACTGCGACAACTAGGAAGAAAAGGACTTTCCACAACTGTTGGGGGCAAATATGAGCATTTTTGAGTTGATTCAGAACCAGAATCTTTTTTTTTTTTTTTGCAAATCAGAAAAAAAATGAAGAGGCGAATCCGAGAACCAACAAATTAAGTTGGTGTGGCCTTAGATGTTAAGAATATGGTGTATACTAGTATTACTACAGTATACATTAACATACGAAAACCTAAGAAAATATTTGGGTGCTTCTTCTAACAGACCTGTTGCTGTTTTCCCCAGGGAACGGTTGCCAGGCGACGGGTGTTCTACAGAAGTAGATGATGAAGAGGACATGATTGATGACATCAATGATGACGTGGGATCTGATGATGGTAAGTTGCCATAGCAACATTAACCCAATGGCTCATTTACCCGGTATATTATTATCATTTAGTCTACTTGATTAATTTTTATTATGCACTTTGATGTGAACTGTATAGCACAGTGATTATGTAATGATTTTATCAAGATGAAATATATATAATATGAAGTTTGATTAACTACTGGTCTTCAAATCTATATATTACCATATTTGTACTAAAGGGGTTCCATCTCTTTTTTATACCACATGCTTAGATGCCTGGAGAGATACTGGTAGGTTGATACAAAGAAATTGCAGATTGGAGCTACATTTTGTGTAAAATTGTACATGTGAAATTACAACATGCTATCTGAAATGTTAGGACTGACTGATCATGAGAGTCAAAGAAGGAAGTTTCAATGTTCTGAATGAGTAGAAATAATGATGATATCAGCATAGAATTCATTCATACATACAATTCAGCACCAAGGACAGGTACAACTTACAGTGGTAATGAAAACATAGTTGAACCAAATTTAGATGTAGCTAACAGGGCTCGAGTCGAAATAGTGGGTGCATGTGCGTTTTAGTGCACCCAAATTTTTTCTGTGGGTGCACTATTTTTTCAGGTTTATGTATGTAAAGATCTTAACTGTACAGTAGTATACAGCATACTCTTTATATCTAAGTGTCAGAAAAATAATAGAGCATTGTTGTAGTACTTTTTTTAGAAATTATTAGTTTTTGTCCATATTCTTTATTTTATATGGTACACCCAACAAATTTTTTGTGCACCCAATTCTTTAAGTTAGGCCATGTTGATTTGATTATATGGATGACATCCTCCGGGAAACCCCAAAATTGATGCGCGCGTGCGAATAAAAAAAAAGTTTTGCAAAAAAAAAAAGTTGTTTTCATTATGAAATCTACGTGGTCATGAGGGTTGAACAAATGGGACAGAATATGGTTTGGCGAATAATCTAGTCTTCAAGTTAATTTCTTTACAATTTCGTCTTTTTTCGTTTGATTTTGGCATTCTACGACATTGGTATGGTTTTTTTGTAGCTTACGGTATATTTTTGCTCATTTTGCAACTGTTTTGTACGATTTACAGTATGGTTGAAAACTTCTTTTTTTTTTGAAACGGCCGAAAATTCATGCGCGCGCGGATGTCATCCATATAATCAAATCAACATGGCCTTAGGTGCACCAGTGCACTTTTTCCTAGAACTATTGCAGAGTGGAACTCGCTGTCACCAAATACAGTAGGGGCATTGTCATTAGATAGCTTTAAACAATGTCTAGAGTTAGATGTTCAAGGGTTAGGAGTAACAAGTCGATCGGTGTAATGTAGCCAGCTGCCGCCGCGCCGCGTGCCTGCGAAGCTGTTGTGACCGATGGGTGGTTATACCGGCTATACAGATACAGATATTCCCAAAAATGAATTCTTCAGCCCTGAGCTGATGTTCTGTACTTGCCTTACAGACGACGTGCGGTCAGTGTCCAGTTCTGCATCCCAGCTGTCCCTGGTTGACCGTACGGCCTCTGCCCGCCCCGCCCTGGTCGGAGAAGAGAACAAACAGAAACACCTGGGGGGGTCGGACGCCGACAGACTGGCTCTACTCACCAGGTAGTTATTCACTACTATCATATAGCCACATGACGTCGACCAATCAGAGGTCCCCATTTCCTACTGGTAGCAGTACACAGTTTTCGCCCTATGGGTATTTCTATAGTTATGGAGCCCAAAGTGAGAGGGTTCGACGCTGTAAAATTTATAGTAGGGTGCACAAGCAAGCTACAACAATTTAATATGTTTGGGTTGAGGGTACACTGTACAAAATATGTGAAAAAACACTTTTATTTGGTGCTTTGTGTGTTGAGTGCGGAGCTATAATAGGATGCCTTGACCTGTTTCTGTTTTTTTTTTCACCCTGTCGCTTCATATTTTTAATGAAAAAATCCAAGAGCCAACAAATTAAATTGGTGTGGCCTAACCAGAGTTTTACCTTCCCCACAGGTCCTCCTACAGGACCACATCAGCAGAGGGAACCCTGGAGATGAAGGCACCTCTCATAGCCAGCCTGTTCTCCAACGTTCCTCCTGTCATCTACTTTGGCACAGATGCAGAGAAGAGTAAGTCCTTCTTGCTTTTGGTTGTGGTGTCAAATAGACTTTATAAGTTTGCAAAATTATCTAGAATTACTGTCCCAAAAATAAATTTCAGTTGTCCCAAAGTGAGGATGAACTGTCCCAACCTGTTTTTCGGGAAGTATTGTATGACTTCAACTTGAAATCAACTTAATGCTTACGTTCTGACTTTCAGGTGCACTATAATTGCAGAGTAGACAGGAAATTGGGGGGGGGACTTTTCCAGAGCCAAAAGCTGGGACATGTGCCTGATAAACAAAAGAAGGGCTGGCATTCTAATGTTGATTACTGTTCTATTGTCCCCAAAATGTCCCAAAGTGTCTTTTTAGTTCTCCCGGCCTAAAATTTGGTGGTCAGTGGCCATCGGGACACCGTTAATTTCGAGCCCTGACCTATTACTACAATGATGTTTTGGTCTCACATGGCAGTTTTTTTTCCTTTTCTACAGTTGCCCCACTGCCGTATGAGACCAGGAAGCTGCTGAAGTGGAGACTGAGCACCATCACTCCTATTGTGGTGAAGAATGTCCTCGGCAGGTCACACTTCAGACTCACCAAAAGTATGTCGTGTATAACTACTGATCTCTTAGGCCATGTTGATTTGATTATATGGATGACATCCTCCGGGAGCCCCAAAACTGATGGGCGCGTGCGAATAAAAAAAAAAGTTTCGCAAAAAAAAAAGTTGTTTTCATTATGAAATCTACGTGGTCATGAGGGTTGAGCAAATGGGACAGCATATGGTTTGGCGAATAATCTAATCTTCAAGTTCATTTCCTTACAATTTCGTCTTTTTTCGTTTGATTTTGGCATTCTACGACATTGGTATGGTTTTTACTTATTTTTTTGTAACTTACGGTTTATTTTTGCTCATTTTGCAACTGTTTTGTACGATTTACAGTATGGTTGAAAACTTCTTTTTTTTAAAATTGAAACAGCCGAAAATTCATGCGCGCGCTGGTGTCATCCATATAATCAAATCGACATGGCCTTACTGACAAATTACTGGTTACTGACCAATATTCAGGTGATAAACTCCTGTAGGGCAATAGCATGTCAGGTGTGGAAGAAACCAGCAAACAAGTCATTGTAACTAGGTGGTCATTTATATCAGAATTTGTAGTTGTGTATCCTTTTTCCAATTCTCCAACATATTTCTAGAGATACAGTCTAAGTTAACTAAAAGATTGATTAATAATTAAGAGCGAATGTCTGTAAGGATCAAACAATGGTGGCAGGGGTCAAAAAATCGATTTGGCTCAAACTTTGCACAGTGATAGTACTTGGCCCACAACCCCTCAAAATAGCTTTCTTTCCGGTCAGCACCGATCGTTGCCATGGTAACGGGTCAAACAAGTTTCAGGGCCATTTTCCCTGATTTAGACATGTGAAAAACATGAAATTTGGCATAGTTTAAGGCACGATTACGAGCAAGTGCTTTAGTATTATGGAAACACAAAGTATGGGCATAAAAGACCAACTAATCCGCTATTCTAGAATAGCTTTGAAATTTTCAAGAAGTTCGTTTAAAGGACCTGGGCAACCCTAACACAATACAGTGTTTGAGGCTTATAAAAAAGCGCTATTTCTGCCCAATTTCGAAGTGCTGTAACTCCAAAGGTGGTGATTTTTTTTGCTTCAAATTTGAATCATAGATACATAAACATATGTGCTATAAAATGCATGGTTGCAAACCTTGGGCACTTCTTTGGTTGTCACGTGGTTGTCCTTAGAAGTAGGTCAAATTTTGAATTTGAGGGAAAGTATGATTTTCATCCATGTTCAGGATACTATATCTACATAAGAAAGAAAGCAATCTGATAAAGTCTTTTGCCCAAAGTAACACTATGTCTTGTCAATTTAATGAATACTTGGGGAAGTTGAAGTCTTGTGTCGTTGGAGTGCACTTGTCCCCCAAAGTAGGCCATATTTTGGATATGTACAGAAATTGACATATACGGCTATGTTTGAAGCTCTAGAGATAACAAAGTAGGATGTCATTTGAATTCAATCTTTGCAGGGAAGTACATATATGTATTGTGTATCAAATGAATACTTGTGGAGATTGGGGCCTTGTGTCGTTGGTGTGCCCTAGTCCCTAAAAGTAGGCCATGTTTTGGACATTTACAGAAATTGTCATACATTTGTATACGGCTATGTTTGAAGCCCTAGAAATAACAAAGTAGGATGTCATTTGAATTCAATCTTTGCAGGGAAGTACATATATGTATTGTGTATCAAATTAATACTTGTGGAAGTTGGGGTCTTGTGTCGTTGGTGTGCACTTGTCCCTCAAAGTAGGCCATATTTTGGACATGTACAGAAATTGACATATACGGCTATGTTTGAAGGTCTAGAAAGAACAAAGTTAGATGCTATTTGAATCCAATCTTTGCGGGGAAGAACATATATTTATAGTGTATTAAATAAATACTTGTGGAGGTTGGGTTCTTGGGTTGTTGGTGTGCACTTGTCCCTAAAAGTAGGCCATATTTTGGACATGTACAGAAATTGACATATTTGGCTATGTTTAGAGCTCTAGAAATAACAAAGTAGGATGTCATTTGAATTCAATCTTTGCAGGGAAGTACATATATGTATTGTGTATCGAATGAATACTTGTGGAGATTGGGGCCTTGTGTCATTGGTGTGCACTTGTCCCTCAAAGTAGGTCACATTTTGGACATGTACAGAAATTGACATATACGGCTATGTTTGAAGGTCTAGAAATGACGAAGTGGGATGCCATTTTAATTCAATCTTTGAAGAGGAGTACATATATGTATTGTGTATTAAATAAATACTTGTGGAGATTGGGGCCTTGTGTCGTTGTATACTTGTCCCTAAAAGTAGGCCATTTTTTAAAGAGCAAATGTCTGTAATGATCAAACAATAGTGAGCGGGGTCAAAAATTGATTTTGCTCATATTTTACACAGTGATAGTACTTCGCCCACAACCCCTTGAAATAGCTTTCTTTCCTCTCAAAACCCATTGTTGCCATGGCAACAGCCCATTCAAGTTTTGGGGCCATTTTGACAGATTTTTGCGTCTCTACAACACGGAAATTGGCAACGTTTAGGACGCGGTCACCGCCAACTGCTTTAACGTAACGACAAATACTTCAGGATATTATTAGACCAATGCATTAACTTGTACGAAATAGGTGTGAAGTTGATGTACAGGCAGATTTCAATCTTTGGGCAACCTCGAAGTAGGTCATTTTCCGCAATTGTCCCCAAATTTGGATTTTGGGCTGTTTTTGAGCTGATGAAAATACCAAAGTGAATTTATTTTCAGACCCATCCTTCTACCATGTTTATTATAGTATTGGCTATCACATGGGTGATTTTGAGGGCTTCCTATTTTGTTCATGTCGTATATGCCTATTTCTGTAAATGTTTAAAATATGGCCTACTTTTAGTGATAAGTATACAACAACGACACAAGACTCCAACCTCCATAAGCCCTTATTTGATACACAATACATATATGTACTTCTCTTAAAAGATTGAGTTAAATTGACATCCTACTTCGTTATTTCTAGACCTTCAAACATAGCCGTTTTTGCTAATTTCTGTATGTATGTCCAAAATATGGCCTACTTTTAGGGAAAAGTACACACCAACGACACAAGACCCCAACCTCCACAAGTATTCATTTGATACACAATACATATATGTACTTCCCTGCAAAGATTGAATTCAAATAGCATCTAACTTTGTTCTTTCCAGAGCTTCAAACATAGCCGTATATGTCAATTTCTGTACATGTCCAAAATATGGCCTACTTTTAGGGACAAGTGCACACCAACAACACAAGACCCCAACTTCCACAAGTATTCATTTGATATACTATAAATATATGTACTTCCCCGCACAGATTGAATTCAAATAGCATCTAACTTTGTTCTTTCTAGACCATCCGAGACATAGCCGTACATGTATATGTCAATTTCTGTACATGTCCAAAATATGGCCTACTTTTAGGGACAAGTATACAACAACGACACAAGGCCCCAATCTCCACAAGTATTAATTTGATACACAATACATATATGTACTTCCCTGCAAAGATTGAATTCAAATGACATCCCACTTTGTTATTTCTAGAGCTTCAAACATAGCCGTATATGTCAATTTCTGTACATGTCCAAAATATGGCCTACTTTGAGGGACAAGTGCACACTAACGACACAAGGCCCCAATCTCCACAAGTATTCATTTGATACACAATACATATATGTACTTCCCTGCAAAGATTGAATTCAAATGACATCCCACTTTGTTATTTCTAGAGCTTCAAACATAGCCGTATATGTCAATTTCTGTACATATCCAAAATATGGCCCACTTTGAGGGACAAGTGCACACCAACTACACAAGACTTCAACTTCCCCAAGTATTCATTTAATTGACAAGACATAGTGTTACTTTGGGCAAAAGACTTTATCAGATTGCTTTCTTTCTTTTGTAGATATAGTATCCTGAACATGGCTGAAAATCATACTTTCCCTCAAATTCAAAATTTGACCTACTTCTAAGGACAACCACGTGACAACCAAAGAAGTGCCCAAGGTTTGCAACCATGCATTTTATAGCACATATGTTTATGTATCTATGATTCAAATTTGAAGCAAAAAAAATCACCACCTTTGGAGTTACAGCACTTCGAAATTGGGCAGAAATAGCGCTTTTTTATAAGCCTCAAACACTGTATTGTGTTAGGGTTGCCCAGGTCCTTTAAACGAACTTCTTGAAAATTTCAAAGCTATTCTAGAATAGCGGATTAGTTGGTCTTTTATGCCCATACTTTGTGTTTCCATAATACTAAAGCACTTGCTCGTAATCGTGCCTTAAACTATGCCAAATTTCATGCTTTTCACATGTCTAAATCAGGGAAAATGGCCCTGAAACTTGTTTGACCCGTTACCATGGCAACGATCGGTGCTGACCGGAAAGAAAGCTATTTTGAGGGGTTGTGGGCCAAGTACTATCACTGTGCAAAGTTTGAGCCAAATCGATTTTTTGACCCCTGCCACCATTGTTTGATCCTTACAGACATTCGCTCTTAAGAAATTGTGCAATTTTGGTCCATAGAATGCTATTATAATAGCAGCATTTGTTACAGGGATAGTTTTCTTATCCAATTAACTATTTGAAAGAAAATGAATTTATATATTGAATTTGAAGGTAGAAGGAAGTTAGTGATACCAGCAGCTGTACAGTTAACTTGATTTTTCTTGAAAGATGTAATACATGGATTTCTTAATACAGTATGTTTTTCTGGAATGTTTTCATTGCTTTCCCTTCAACCAAGGTAAAAGTAAGTTCCACCTGAAAGTGCAGAGGCATCAGTAGTTCATGCTCTTCTTAGAGTAGAGAACCGTCCCATCTGTGTAGTCTACAATCATAAATCTTAAGCCTTGTTCATGTGAAGTCACCCAAACCGCGATTCGGGTAACTCACATTCCTCACATCTGGTCCACGTGCCATACATTCCTTTTAAAACGTGCTCAATCACGATTCTCTGAAACTGAATTCATTGTTGTTTGATGAAAACACGCAAGGTAGCGTGTCATTATTGTCAGAGGTCAATGACCTGCTTTGCTGGTGCCCCCCTCCCAGTGTATCTCGGCCGAATGCCGACGTAGTCCCGCCAGAGGCGGTGAAGCTCGTCCTAGAACGGACACATTATTTGACCATGACTGCTCTTTAAGTTGCTGCCACGTAAAAGTTGGTATTGCATATAAATAAAGAAATATCACCCCGTAATCCATGACCAAGTGAAGTCACATTGAAATCACATTGTGTTCAGATGCAAATCGCGATGCAGGAAAACCGATTCGAAACCACCTCTAGCAGTGGTTTGGGATCGAGACGCTTTCAATGTGATTTGGAGCGTTCAGATGGAGCCACTTGAAACCGGCTTCGGGGTAAACCACATGTAAAGCGCCTTGGGTGACTTCACATAAACACGGCCTTAGTCACTGTACTCATCACATCTATGAGTATGACCACTTCAGCAAGTTGGCTATAGTATAAAGTGTAGTTAGCAGTTTTGAACAGGTGCAGGATAAAATATTGATGTTTCAAGTAAATTCAGCACATTCTAACAACACTACAGTGCTTGTAGGTTTAGGGAAGTTTAGGCCACACCAATTTAATTTGTTGGTTCTCTGATTTTTTTCAGAAAAAATATGAAGCGACAGGGCAAAAAAAAATAAAAACAGGTCTAGGCATCCATTAGGAGCCATTTAGTCAACACAAAAGGCTGGGTTAATATTTAAACAATGAATTTTGAACTTTTAATCAAACCGATGCATTGATAGATGGAAAAACTGTAACAGCTAGGAAGAAAAGGCCTTTCCTCATTTTTATTTGGGGCAAAATATATATAGGAGAATTTTTTTAGTTGATTCAGAACCAGAATATTTTTTTGAGATGACTCCGAGAACCAACAAATTAAACTGGTGTGGCCTTATGCCAGTATAATCCCTATTTGATTTTCATTCCCCATTTTGCCATGAATGGTTTCTATGTTTGACATTTTGCTCTTGAGACTGATTCAGTGTTTGTGTATTCCAGAGGGAAATGACTGGCTGGGATACTGGGGCAAACACATGAAGTCCAATGGATTCAGGAGTGTGCGAGAATTCCAGAAGGTCAGAAAAAGTCATAAATGTCTAAAATCAGGGAGACAAAAACACTTTCAAAAGTTTTCCAAATGTGTTAAACTTAATTATACATGTATACACCTTCTTTCAAAGGTCATTAAAATAGATAAGAACTTCTCAATGGATGTACATGTATGTGTCTGTTAATTCTTACTCAAACACATTCATATATATGATCAGACAGGAGTCCAAATCCCTCCTACTATAAAATTGCAACATGATGTAACCCAACACTACTTACCATGGTAACAGACAGTCTGGTTCAGGTCATTGACCTTTTGTGTTTGGAGAAGAGGAAACTGAGCAAAAACAATATGTTTTCCTTTTGTAAACATAATGTTTTCCTTTGGTAAACATAATGTTGAAATGAAAATGTAAGTCATGTACTTTATTTGACCTTGAACCTCTCCTACTCCCTCAGGTGAACCACTTTCCCGGGACGTTTCAGATCGGACGCAAGGACCGGCTGTGGCGGAATCTGTCCCGCATGCAGGTGCATTATGGGAAGAAGGACTTCAACTTCTTCCCTCTGACCTTTGTGCTTCCGTCTGACTTCAAACAGCTGAAGAGGACCTGGGAAGACGGCGGCACCAAGCAGAAGTGGATCATCAAACCTGTGAGTTTACCGCTAAATTCTCAAGCTGACATTTATATCATAGATATGCTGTGATAATGTTTGATACAGGTGTTCTGGCCCATGTGATAACTACCTTTATATCATACCTGAGCCGTGATAACCTTCAATAATGGTGTTCTGGCCCGGATCGTACTCTACGGTACGGCCCGGGCTTCCATGGATTGCATAGAATGATACGAATGTGTTTCACCCTAACCGCGTGCACCATTTTGAAAATTTTGAATACAGGATTTGTGTTTTGGAGTTGTTTGGACGTTCTAACTGTTATCACATGGGCTTCTTTGGGCAAATGTTTACAACTTTTGGCACATTTCTCATTGACTTGCATCTTTTTCTTGGGTTTGTGTATTCTACATCACCCTCGGTCCCAGCCCGACCATGGATTAAGTATTTTATTTGAGTATGAAGTTAAATTGATTTCGATGTCAGACTCTGTAATTATGACAGTGGCATTTCTGGGCCATACCTGGTATTTCATACACAAGTAGCTGACTATCTTATGTTTATTTCTCTGTTCTGTAGCCTGCTTCAGCTAGAGGCATTGGCATCAAAGTCATCCACAAATGGAACCAAGTCCCCAGGAAAAGACCAGTCATTGTACAGAGGTGAGCACAGACTGGAAGAAAGCATGATTGTACGGTGGTTCTAAATCACATCTAGTATAATCATTATGGTAACACTTTCTGTATACTACTGTTCAAGGCAGTTCTTGTTATTGAAGTAAAACATTTATGATAAGTTTCTGTTGATAACCTTCTGTTTATGTAGTTTATGGTCTTAATCTTTAGCATTTTTGATACATTGTGAGGAGTAAATTCCGGGTCACAAGTTAAAAGTGTATGTCAGATTTTTGCGCCAAAACTGAAATTTTCTCATCTCAATTCTCTTCAGTAACTTTCAACATATTAGCGTCGCTATTTTCTTTTCCGGTGACTCAGGGGAGAGCAAGAATAAGTTGCGCCAGGCCCACTGTATTTTTAGGAGGCTCCTAAAAAGAATGTAGACAGACGAATAACAACAAACATGGCCGCGATCTGTGCTAGCACCGCGGAGTTGGCAGTTTTCCAACACGTTTTTGTGGCGCAACAATGTTGATCTTTTATTTCCCAAATGTTATTAGGCCTATAGTGCAAGAAAATGTGTAAAACAACAATGTTTAAAATAGTGAAAATTCTTACATAATATTGCTTTCGAGCCATTAGTTCAAACAAATTTAATTACGTGTTAATGCTAAAAGCTTGTGACTAATAATAATAATTATAATAATAAATGTTTTTATTGTCCAAACAGTACCCGTGCAGTCGCAGCCTTTATACGGCTGAATTGATGCAGGGTATCACATAATAATCAATACAAATCACAACAATCAAATAATACACATGATACACATATTTGTTCCACAATTATTTTTTGTTGAACTGTCGCAAGGGTCTGTGCGGCTGCCTTTCGGCGCCACGAGGTGACCTCAATACGACTTTCCCCAACCAAAGTTAGGTACCCATTCACACCTGGGTGGAGTGAGGAAAGTCGTGTAAAGTGCCTTTCCCGAGGGCACAACGTCGGGGCGCATGGTCAGACATGTCCCGGGTACAACTCGGAATCGAACCCGGGTCTCCCCCGCTTCATAGTCGATTGCTCTAACCACTACACCACCCGATGCCACACGCGACTAATCTGTTTCTTCACCTTTTCAGATACTTGTCGCGTCCCTACCTCATCAACGGCAGTAAGTTTGACCTGAGGTTGTACGTGTATGTCACCTCGTACGACCCTCTCCGCATCTACCTCTTCCAAGATGGCCTTGTGAGATTCGCTACCTGCAAGTACGTGGAACTTTGTTTTCCTGTTTTGTTTGTTTTGCAAAACCGGTAAACTGCATTTAGGCATACATTGTAACACACCAGTTTGTTACTGTAAGTACAAGCTGCGTAAGACCGGACTTTAAGGTTTGAACCACTCACACCGGGAAGGACCCCTGTTCTTTTTGATAAGTGTGGTGGGTTCTTTAATGTGAGTAGGGTGTGGCTCTCCCCAAACAGAGGACCTCCATTTAACATCCTATCCAAAGGGATGTCCCTAACAAATGCTAGGTACTAATTCCCACCTGAGTGAAGTGAGGAAAGTTGTGTAAGTACCTTTCCCAAGGGCACAAGATTGGTGACATGGGCAGGAATCGAACCCGGGATCTCTTGGTACTGAGCTGCGACTGGGCTCTGAGTCCCTGCGATTCAGGATCTGTTGTAACATATTACCCAAGTTTGGCCACCTCTCACCAAGACAGGATGTCTTTGAGTTCGTCTAATGGATTCAGAACAAATTTTAGAGGGGACGCAGGGTGAAACAATTTCAAGTTTAGAAAACCTCCTGGGCCAGTTTATTACGCTCACATTGTTGACATGTTTTAAGTTTAAGTTTTAGATTGTTCTGCACATAATGTTCTTACTTCTAATACTTCTGGCCATGTTGTTACAGGTATTCCTTCTCCATGAAGAACCTGTCCAACCGTTTCATGCACCTGACCAACTACAGCGTCAACAAACGGAACGCCGAGTTCACACCCAACAGTGACAAGGACAGGTGTGAGGGACACAAATGGTGAGAAAATGTTTGTAGATTATCAAAAATGTTTTAATAACAAATGATGTATCTTAACCCATAGAATGTCGCATAGCCAGATTCAGAATCATGCAAAATGTTATAATTAAAACTAAATGCAAACAATTAATTTATATTTTTGATGCGTCTAGACAAACCCTGTATCACAAACATGATCTGTTGCCACATTGTCCATTGTACGAAAAGTGAGTTGACCACTCTAGTCTATATTAGCTTATTAGGCCATGTTGATTTGATTATATGGATGACATCCTCCGAGAGCCCCAAAACTTATGCGCGCGTGCGAATAAAAAAAAGTTTTGCAACAAAAAAAAAGTTCTTTTCATTATGAAATCTACGTGGTCATGAGGGTTGAGCAAATGGCACAGAATATGGTTTGGCGAATAATCTAGTCTTTAAGTTCATTTCTTTACAATTTCGTCTTTTTTTGTTTGATTTTGGCATTCTACGGCATTGGTATAGTTTTTATTAATTTTTTTTGTAACTTATGGTATTTTTTGCTCATTTTGCAACTGTTTTGTATGATTTACAGTATGGTTGAAAACTTTTTTTTTTTGGAAACGGTCGAAAATTCATGCACGCGTGGATGTCATCCATATAATCAAATCAACATGGCCTTAGTAGCTAACACTTTGTATTAGCCTAGTATGTCCAAGTCAAGTAGTGTATCTTTTGTATCCACTTTTCTATATACGTTTGTTATGTGTCTTTAACTGTGCCGAGCCCGTTGTGGAATGAATGTACAATAAAGGTCTTTCATCATCATCAGTTCTTTAGGTACCTGCAGTTTGCATCTTGGTCACTAGATGTCTCTTGTGTGTGTTGCAGGGGTCTGCAGGCCCTGTGGAGATACCTGCAGCGGGGAGGCATCAACACCGACCATATATGGGAGGAGATCAAGGATCTGGTCATCAAAACCATCATCTGGTAAGACTGGTTTTATTGAGAGAATCATCTATGTTTGATAACTTCAGTAACTTCCTTTGCTTTTGAAAGAATACACTTGATTACAGGGTTTTAGCTTGGTGGTGTCTGGTGTCTTTTGGACTCCCGGTACTGAAAATACTAGTGACAAGAAATTGGAATCCCTAATTTTTGGAAGGACACCCTAAAGACGCCCTGTTTTTTTTTCCACTCTCAACCCCTGCCATGCACACATGCCCTCCTTCAGCTTTACTATAAAAATGATGATGTAACAAAGGAAAAAACAAATTGGTTGCAGGCTGTACTCAAAATTTCAAGCTCAAAATGCAGGAAGTAGGGTTTGAGGCCATTATAATACAAGACTTTCTAAAAAAATAAACTAAAAAGCTTGTGCCTGCGCTGCTTGCTACTCGGCTTCGCTGCACATAGCATACAATAAAAAATTGGACACCCAACAAAAGAATCCCAGCTAAAAGCCTGTGTGATGATGAAAATGTATGAACTTTTGGCACTTTTTTGTCTAACTTGTCGTTTGTGTCCCACAGCTGTGAATCTGCTGTGAATAGCCTGGTGAAGGCTAACGTACGTCGGCGCTACTGCGTGAACGAACTGTTCGGTTTCGACATCATGTTGGACGCAGACCTGAAGCCCTGGATTTTAGAGGTCAACATCTCGCCAAGGTCAGAGGTTTTGTTTGTTTTGCCTAATTGGTCTAAAGTGCCTTTTTAGGTGTAACATGCCAGTTTTGTACATGCAAGTACAAGTTCATGTAAGTACTGCTTTAAAATTTGTACACGTAAGTACAAGCTGCGTAAGACCGGACTACATGTATAGGGTTTGAACCACTCACACCTGGAAGGACCACTACTCTTTTTGATAAGTGCAGTGGGTTCTTTAATGTACTGTGTCCAAACACGGGACCTCCATTTAACGTCCTATCCGAGGGACATCCCTAACCGAAGCTAGGTACTCATTTACACCTGAGTGAAGTGAGGAAAGTCATGTTTTGTGCCTTTCCCAAGGGCACAAGATTGGTGTCATTGCGCTGGATTCGAACCCGGGACCTCTTGGGTCTGAGCCAAACACAACCCCATCCTGAACAGTTTTTCAAGTTTCATTATACCAGATGTTTTAAATTCAACATTGAGCTGTTTTAAGTCAAGTAAGTTGGTCTAGATTTTTTGTCAACAGGCATTTCTTTGTTTATGTTGTTTTGTTTTGCTGTTTACAGTCTCCACTCCAACTCCCCGCTGGATGTAAACATCAAAGGTCAGATGATCCGTGACCTCATGAACCTGGCGGGGTTCCAGATCCCCGACAAGACGGTCGTCATGGCAGCCAACAACGTCAACGCTTCCCAGACCTTCAGCACGGACAAGCGCCACCAGAGCACGGACCTCGCGCCTGACGAGAAGGCCAAACACGCTTTCTTTGTGCAGAAATACATCGACGAGGTAATAATAAGGGTAATCCTTCATCAAAAGTAGTGAGTCACGTATTACACCATCAAAACCAAAGATAAAAGTCATTGTTAATAAATTACATGTACACGCAGGGTGCAAAATTCCTGGTTGCCCAGTTGCCCCGGGCAACCAAATTTTACTTGGGGCAACCTATTTTTGAACCTACATGTAGGTAGCCCAGTATGCTACCTGAATTTTAAGAATCCCCAAATCATGCCCTGACTTTGCATGCAAGTGTATCCGGCAGATGCTTTTTAATTTTAGGTATTAATGGCTATTACTAGTATCAGTTAACTAAAGGCTGTTAGAAATATTGTCAGAGGCTTCTGTATGTAACATTGTCTTAATTTGAGGAAAGTAGTAACTTATAGCAAGGAGGTATTTAACCTCCTTGCTTATAGGTAGGGCAACGTAAAATTCTGATGGGCAACTTAATGTTTGCCGTAGGTTGCCAACCTGGTTCAAAAAGTATTTTGTACACTGTACATGTATGTACTCAGAGAAAAATATACAATATATTGCCAACAAAATGGGTTGTTACATTAGAAACATAAAATTGAACACATATAATTTATCAACTAATGGTGTAGGTGTTGCTTTCCTTCATAAATTGGTGATGTCAAAAACAGTCAATTTGAAACCAAAAACAGCCCATGAGACTATGACAGTTTTGGCTGCTCCCGATTTTGACACAATCAGTAATTTACAGTTTTTTTTAGTTTATTATTGAATTATTACATTGACTGGATCATTTATACCAGAAAATTTATATATACAAACTACTGGCAAATATCAGGATGCATAAAAAACATGTATATATAGAATACAACATGGGGTATTCCGTATCGCCCGAGGTACCAGCTCGACTGCGAGTCGAATCGCCTGAAGGCCGGAGGGAGATCCATCCGTAGGAGGGCTGGGACTGATGCGAAAATTTGGTGTCCCTAAACCCCAGAAATGCAACAATGTCAATTCCAACGTCCGAATTTTGTATTCGAAATTCGAAAGCGGCACATGCGGTTAGGGTGAAACGCGTTCGAATCATTCTATGGAACATTTGGAAGCCCCGGGCCGTACACGTTAAGAACCCCGAGCCGTACCGCTAGTTATCACACGGGCCGGAACACTCGTATCGAACGTAATCGCGGCCCAGGTAGGACATAAATGACATTATTGGGAAGATAACTGACTTGCCATTGGTTATCCCTGTTCCAGCAACTGCGTATGACCATCACGGACACCCTGACCCCAGATGACATCCGCATGCTGATCGAGACGGAGGACGAGTTCAACCGGCGCGGCATGTACGAGCGCATCTTCCCCTCCCCAACCTCCAGCAAGTACCACCGATTCTTCGAGCAGCCCAGGTACTACAACATCCTGATGGACGAATGGGTGCGCAGGTACCATCGCCAGCATTCCAGAGGTGTGTTCTTGATTCTCATTGGTCTTCTGACTTTGTGCTAATACCCATTATATTGCCTCCTTTAAGATTTAATCAAACCACGTGTGCTCCCATAAGTATGTACAGTTTTAGCCTGGTTACCAAACTGCAAATAGAACAGAGGATAAAAAGTCTGAAGCTAAAACAGATTTGGTAAGGCCTAGGAAAAAAATTCCCGTTTCCGACGGATGCTACAAAAAACTGCAGAATCTAGCCTTTTTTGGTGGACCCCTTCAAGAGACATAAATTTTTCAAGCCGATTGACCATGTCTAGTTCCATGATATGACACCTGAGTGATGTAACATTGCTTTCCTACATTGACATTGAAAGTATAAGTGTCCTCATGCAAGATTTACTTTATTAAATTGTATTGAGTAAGTTGGATCACCAGAGATCACCAAAGTGTAATAAAAAAAAAGAAAAAAGAACTACCTACCGACCCTAATTTTTTTAGGACTGAAAAAGGAAACACAACTTTTTTTCCTAGGCCTAACCAGGTTAGTTCAGTTTTCTTAATTACTTTATAGACTTGGTTGATATTGGATTTATCAGTGCCAATAATTACATATTACATACATGTAGAAGTCTTGAGTTGACCTGTATGACCTCCTCAGGGGTTGGAATGCTGGATACCTTCTGTCAGCACAGTCTGCATGTCGGCACCACGACTAACCCCGCCCACCAGTGGTCCCCGCCCAAGTTTGTCCGCATCTCTCGTGACCAGAGGTCCATCAGTGCCCCGCTAAGTCATGGGTAAGCACAATCCTAATATCATCGGGAACTACAATCATGATTTAAAACTACATGTACTGTACAAGATGAATTGGTAGAGGTTAGACATCCAGGTAATAAGATACGCCAAAAAACAGTTACTCAAGCAACTGGATATGATTTTGGAAACAGTCAATGTACAAGACTTGGCGTTTTTGGTTTGGATGAAAGTCTGATTCCAAGTCTCATCTCCAAGACTGTATCTGCTTAGCTCAACATCATGATGTTCTAAATTGTAGTCCCCTTATGTATAGTATTACACACTATGTGAATGTGAACTGGATGGAAAAAAAAAAGCTTGTTTCTTTCCTATTCATCTCCCAGTGCAATGGCAGGGCTACCGAGAATCAAAAGGAAGGGCCACAAAGGAGCAAAGCTAAACAAGAAGCCATCTGTCTCCTCTGGTACCGTGGCTTCTCTCTCCATGACCAAGATCTCTGTCCAGGACAGACCACCTGATGAGGGGGAGGAGCGCAGCGCCTCGGCTACAAGTTGACAATTACCAGTCCTACCTCCCCTCCAGGTAACTACCTGTACACCCCTGTTTCTAAATGGGGCCTTCCTGTCACCATTCTTTCATACAATGTTCCGAAAAATGTCTTATAGAATCACAGAGGTACCATTATAAGATTTGAGACATTTAAAAAAACTGCCCACCATAGCATTTTTCTGTGGATATCTGCAAGGGACGTGAATTTTTCAAGCTGATTGACCTTTTCTAGCTTCATGATCTGACACCTGAGTGTTAAAACGTTGCACAATCAGTTTTCCAACATTGACATTGAAAATAGAAGACATCCTCATGCAAGTTTTTACTTTGTTAAACTGCATAAGTTGGATCACTAGAGATCGCCAAAGTCTAAAAAAAAAGAAAAAAATAACCTATCTTACTACCAACCCTAATTTTTGTCAGGACTGAAACAGGAAACAAAACTGTTACATTAGTAAAACGTTAAACTTAATTCCAACACACAATTTACAGAGATCAAATTTTCAGCGACCACTGTCGCCTTCATCAGGATAATTAATGACCAATCACTTCACAACGTGATCTCTGTAATTTGATCTCTGTAAATTGCATGTTGGAATAAAATTAAACGTTTTACTATGATTACTACCAACACAGATGAACTTTCATGAAAAACTGTTACATTTTTGTCATTAATCCACAAACTGTTAGACTAAGTATGGTCAAAGGTAACGTGTTGTATTTTGTGTAGGATCTGACAGGCCCACCCGCACCAGTCTTCCAGAAGAAAGGCAAGAAGAGGCTGACGCCTGCTCACCAGCTGGGCAGCATCCTAGAACCAAAGACTCTGTGCTTCCAACACAGCTGTGACTGCTGTCTGTGACGTCAAGACCACTACAAAACTGGTGCTACTCACTCTATAGGGGTACAACAGTCTTGTTCTGTGGATCAGTGTAGCTAGTGCTGTGTACCTAAACCCACGACCAGGTCCAGATCTGGATTCAAGTCCAGAGGTTTAGGTTCATGATCAGGTCCAGATTTGTAAACCCAGGGCATATACAAAATACGTAGAGAGTCTTCTCAGAGAAATTTCCCAAAGAAAAATTTTGTAGCAAGTACTGCACTACCAGGCCAGCGTATAGAAGCAAGATGTGTTGTTTACAGGGCACGTCTGGGCAAAACTGTGGCCACATGATTTACAGAGGTCGACACTTGATGATGCCCAGTGGCAATGTTTTCTTCATTTTGCGGCACAAATTTTTGACAATTGAAGAGTTCAGGTGGGTTAAAACAAAAGGGGGAATGTGACATTGTTTTTTTTTGGTCCGGAACTAGTTCCAGCAAACCGGTACACAGCACTAGATATACCAGGTAGCTGTACAGAAGTCCACCTTGGAAATATTGAAGCCACACTCTGACCACTGTGTATGCCATAGAACAAGACCTTGAATACCCTTTTGAGTGTTCATTGAAAATTTAACCCTAGCCCACTACTTGCTGTAAGACAGATATTAATTTTTTTTTATTGGCAACCATTTTTGTACTGTATTCGATTTACCGTAGATAGAACTGTAATAGAAATCGGTTTATTTTTTGTTAAAGATATGTTCACTTGTGCTTTCACACAGAATGTTGACATTAGACCATTTTGTATGGAAGCAAGTGGTAGCATTTTACTGTATCCAAAAATTGTCTCTCCTTATTCATGTATTTTATTTTATTGTAGCTGTCATCAGTGGTATGTTAGCATTTCATACAGTTATGTGACTTCTGTATAAAAACCACCATCATTGCAGTACTTGTAGTAGGGACAAACCATTATTGTCATGTTGGACCCTGCAGATTCTAGAGGAGAGGTAGGACAGAGGGGAGAGTCAGTAACAACCTTAGGAACTTAGCAAAGGGTTGGAAGTAGCTATATTAAAGCAGCAATAACAAATTTTCAAGGCAAATACTGTGTAAAATCTCTATCAAGATGTAACAAAAAACCACTGGATTCTTTTATATGCATGCTATACATGGAAACAGTATTTTTAGAATGATAAAATCATTGTTATTATCAATTTTTAATCCACACTTTTGCTGTCAGTATTGTTTCTTAGATTTTAAACGGAGTTTGCACATGTTGGTAGAGATTTTTACAGTACCTTATCCCATGCAACAACCCTTACACTGGAGTCTCAGGGAAATTATATGTGGGTTTGAGGCAATATCAGAATGTAAATAAGGTTAAATCCATGATTATGTAAAGCAGGCCGATTTTTTGCCTGTGTTTAAAGTTTAACTAACAACCATTTATTAATAAGTATATTAAAGATTTTAACAAACTGTTACTGTTAAAATTTTGGATTAGAACATGTTGTATTCAAATTATAGAAAGTGTTGAATTATTAATTATTAATGTTGAATTCACTTTTTCCAATTGTATAAAAATGTAAATAGATATGGACCAAGAAACACAACACACTTTTTAACAATTTCTGCTTAACACTGTATTCATTACTGCAACTAAGGCCACACCGCCTTAATTTTATGGATGACATCCGCGCGCGCATTGATTTTCGCCTGTCGCCCTAAAAAAAAATCACTTCCACCGAGGCTCTGGCCTGGCTCTAGGCCTGGGTAGTCCATGGTAGTTAGCGACAATACGGAGCCAGGCACCCAGGTTACCGAAGCTCCACAACTCAAAAACTCAGCACATAAGAGCACAGTACCGATTCATAAATGCCGCAAAAAGCCAGCATGTGCCGGCTTGTCGTATACGTCGCTAAGTACTGTCACAAATTCACAATGCCAGCTTTGTATTCCTGTGGTTTAGCAGCATTTTTATTTTTGGCCGGAATTTTTTTTTATTTGCCCGCGCGCACTAGTTTGGGGGTCTTCAGAGGATGTCATGCATAAAATCAAATCGGTGTAGCCTAACCTGTGTTGGCAGTGGCTGCCAAAAATGAACAACCGTTTATGGTTAACATTTGTGCCTTAATGTTTTTTGGATGTTGATGTCCTATAATGGCCTGTGTTACACAATCACTTGCCTTGTCACGTGCTATTTACTTATAAGGCCACACCAATTTAATTTGTCGGTTCTCAGATTTTTTCAGAAAAAATATGATGCGACAGTGCGAAAAGTTAAAATAGAAGTAAAAACAGGTCTAGGCATCCTATTATAGCCCCAAATGGTATGATATGAGCCATGAAGTCACAAAAGGCTGGGTTAATATTTAAACAATGAATTTGAACTTTTAATCAAACCAGTGTATTGATAGATGGAAAAACTGTTACATCTCGGAAGAAAAGGACTTGAGGGCAAAATAGGAGCATTTTTAATTGATTCAGAACCAGAATCTTTTTTTTTTTTTTGCAAATCAGAAAATAATGAAGAGGCGAATCCGAGAACCAACAAATTGAATTGGTGTGGACTAATAGAAATTACATACTAGAATAAATCATGATGTATTTACACATTGTTCAACAGCTTTTATGCTGAAGAATGATGGTTGCAAGTTTCTGCAATTCTGTTTGTCCAAGAGATGTCTGTATTGCTGTTTCAGAAAAAGGCTCACATTTTAAAGATTCTTCTTGCACCTTTATCAATTTCTTGATAATGTCTTCCAGACAAGTGCCACAATGTCTTATGAAATTGTACCTTCTGTGCTTGAATCTGTATTCAGAGAATGGAACTCGGAACACAAACTTTTGTTGTCAAACTAAAATTGCTTAATATCAATTTTTAAAATCCCGAAGAGGTTCATCAGTCACGTAGAATTAACAGTTAGTAGAAATTCTTCGATCAGTGACTGTATTTTTGTAAGGTAGATTACATGTACGTACCTCCAAATTTTCGGTGTTGACTGTACACCTTGATCACGGATTGACCTAGTCTCGCGAGAACACGGAGGCGGGGGAGGTCAGAAGATCCACACAAGTCTCGACCTAGTCTTGTGTTCTGGCGAGACTAGGTCATTCCGTGATCAAGGTGTACAGTCAACACCGAAAATTTGGAGGTACGTACATGTAATCTACCTTACAAAAATACAGTCACTGATCGAAGAATTTCTACTAACCAAATGTTTGAGCTGTTCAGACAAGTTCTGTTGCTGTATCTACTTTCCCAATGGGAAAACGGTTAAACTTTCTCTGTGTTTAAACAGCAAGCTGTGTGTAATTAAATCCATTGACAAATTAATGTATGATGTTACAACAGAGTGTTTTTGAAAAAAAAAGATGTTATTTCAAAATTTCATAAGGCAAAAAAGTATGAGTGAAGCATATTTCTTGTACTTGAACTAAGAAAAAAGTTGTCCTGCCTATTTATATTTCCTTGCTGTACTGTTTTGCACTGGTGTTCTGTTGTGTATTTTGAAGTTGAGTGCAATGTTGTTTGTTTTCTGACATGGTTAAAGTTTGGGACGAAAGTGGTGCTATTTCAACAGAATTTAGTGATGTTAAAATCAAGACTTTTTGCATATTTCTGTTCAAAGTAGATCTAGAGAATCTATGCATGGATCATATATGCAACTTACACAATCTATAATATAATGTTATATATATTAACTACTGGTAGCTTTTTATCTTGAAAATGTAAGGAAGAAAATTTTCCTTGAATAACACTTTGAAACAGACTGAAAGATCTGATGCTACACGAAAAGTACCCAATGTGTAAATGTGACAATGAATACAGTTGTCTGACAGGTACATTATGGAAATGATTGAACTGGAGAAGACCACTGTTCTACAGAGGAAAAATAAAAAATGTTACGAAACAAGATTAAACACAAAAAAATTGGACTCACCCAAATTTTCGACTGTAGAACTCCAGTCTTTGTCAAAGAATGAGCAATCCACCGCTTCCGTGACATCACGCAGATAACACGTGACTCCGTGAGCAGTGGATCATAGGTTGCAGTTCAATCTTGTTTCATGATGACTTCTACTAACACAGATGAACTTTCAAGATGAGAAAATAAATGTTGTCATTCCCTTTCCAAAAACTTATTGACCAACAACTGAATGAACTTTCATGCTGATTGTACGTTATCATGTTTGTTTTTGTTCAGGTTCTAGCCAATAGAGGTCACGTTTTCTCACTTGGCTTTGGTTTAGTACTGTTGGTTAATAAAGATTGACTTATTTTCATAACATACATTGTTGGTATCCCTTCTTTTGCATATGTTATTAAATTAAAGTAGTGGATTACTAGTAATAAGTTATTTTAATAACAATTTAAAAACAAATTGAATCGAGTTTGGCGAAAGGATCTTTAACAACTTTTCTACCTTTTTAATAAAGGTAATTCTCTAATATGTTAATTCAAGGACATCATAATACAGTCCTACTTAACTTAAAATTCTATCATTGCTTGTGTTCTAAAAACTTTAAGTATTCAGAAGTTTAGTCACAAACATTTGTGCGATCTAGGAAAAAAATTCTCGGCCATGATGTGGCATTCAGGTAAAGATGCAAACGTACATAGTCGTTTTAGTAAGGTTTTGTAATTTCCTACACGAATACTATTCGGGGCAAATCATTTCATATACATGTAGATGCCCTACAGCTATGCCCTGTATGCCTAAGTATTGTAGTGCACTATTTGTCCAACAGGGGGCGCAACTTTCCCGCCACACCGTCGAGGTCTCGCGAAGCGCGAGATGTTGTCCAGCGATATTTCACGCAGTGCATTGTGGTAAGTGGCGGCAAAGATTTTTCAAGATGGCAGCAGTGGGTCGATCTGAACGTAAATTTTTGCTGTTTTATTTCGTTTCGTACTCTACTGAGATCCTCTT